CAACAACAGAGGAGTTGATCTCCTCACAGCTCAGTCTGTTTTTTATTTACTCTCCTCTGTATCTTTTGTTTGTTTCACACACAAACACAAGACATCATGTGTTTATAGGGAAATATGTATTTTGTTTATACATTCATTTACCAGTTTTACTGCACATACACAAACTGTGGTTCATGTGATTAGTTGTTTGTTTGTCAACATGTTATGAGAACATATTAAGGTAACAGTTCCTGTGTTAATGAATCAGATTCTGTTGTTATTTATGTTTACAGAACGGTGTGTATCAGTTCTGAGGTTCTGTTTGTTTATGTGTTAGAACACAGTCCAGGTTGTTTACACCAGGTGTGATGATGTCATACAGGTCAGTTAGTGACTACAGCAGATCGGTGACACGTAAAAGACGACGTGAGGTTTGTGTTGGTTTGGAACGTCATCAGTTTGTTGAAGTGTTTACGTTTAACAACAGTTAAGATATCAGAATAAACAGGAACATGACACGCAGGCAGAGGTCTGACTGATTCTGTCTCTGACTCTGTCTCTGACTCTGTCTCTGTCTCTGATTCTTTCTCTGACTGTCTCTGTCTCTGACTGTGACTCTGACTCTGTCTCTGACTCTTTCTCTGACTGACTCTGACTCTGTCTCTGTCTTTGTCTCTGACTCTGTCTCTGACTCTGTCTCTGTCTCTGACTGACTCTGACTCTGACTCTATGTCTGTCTCTGACTCTGTCTCTGACTGACTCTGACTCTGACTCTGTCTCTGTCTCTGACTCTTTCTCTGACTGACTCTAACTCTGTCTCTGTGACTGACTCTGTCTCTGACTGACTCTGACTCTATCTCTGACTGACTCTGACTCTGACTCTGTCTCTGACTCTGACTCTTTCTCTGTCTCTGTCTCTGACTGACTCTGACTCTATCTCTGACTGACTCTGTCTCTGTCTTTGTCTCTGACTCTGTCTCTGACTCTGTCTCTGTCTCTGACTGACTCTGACTCTGTCTCTGTGACTGACTCTGTCTCTGACTGACTCTTACTCTGTCTCTGACTGACTCTGACTCTGACTCTTTCTCTGACTGACTCTGACTGTCGCTGTCTGTCTCTGACTCTTTCTCTGACTGACTCTGACTCTGACTCTTTCTCTGACTGACTCTTTCTCTGACTGACTCTGACTCTGTCTCTCTCTGTCTCTGACTCTGTCTCTGTCTCTGATTCTGACTCTGTCTCTGACTGACTCTGACTCTGACTCTGACTCTTTCTCTGACTGACTCTGACTGTCGCTGTCTGTCTCTGACTCTTTCTCTGACTGACTCTGACTCTATCTCTGATTCTGACTGACTGACTCTGATTCTGACTCTTTCTCTGACTGTCTCTTTCTCTGACTATCTCTGACTCTGTCTCTATCTCTGTCTCTGACTGACTCTGACTCTGTCGCTGTCTCTGATTCTGACTCTTTCTCTGACTGACTCTGACTCCTTCTCTGACTGACTCTGACTCTGTCTTTGTCTCTGACTCTGACTCTTTCTCTGACTGACTCTGACTCTGACTCTTTCTCTGACTGACTCTGTCTCTGACTGACTCTGACTCTGACTCTGTCTCTGACTCTGTCTCTGACTCTGTCTCTGTCTCTGATTCTGACTCTTTCTCTGACTGACTCTGACTCTTTCTCTGACTGTCGCTGTCTCTGATTCTGACTCTTTCTCTGACTGACTCTTACTCTGTCTCTGACTCTGTCTCTGTCTCTGACTGACTCTGTCTCTGTCTCTGACTGACTCTGACTCTGACTCTGTCTCTGTCTCTGACTCTTTCTCTGACTGACTCTGACTCTGTCTCTGATTCTGACTCTTTCTCTGATTCTGACTCTGACTCTGTCTCTGTCTCTGTCTCTGATTCTGACTGACTCTGACTCTGACTCTTTCTCTGACTGACTCTGACTCTGACTCTGTTGCTGTCTCTGATTCTGACTGACTCTGACTCTGACTCTTTCTCTGACTGTCTCTGACTCTGTCTCTGTCTCTGACTGACTCTGACTCTGACTCTTTCTCTGACTGACTCTGACTCTGACTCTGTCGCTGTCTCTGATTCTGACTCTTTCTCTGACTGACTCTGACTCTGTCTCTGTCTCTGACTCTGACTCTTTCTCTGACTGACTCTTACTCTGTCTCTGTGACTGACTGTCTCTGACTCTGTCTCTGTCTCTGACTGACTCTGTCTCTGTCTCTGATTCTGACTCTGTCTCTGTCTCTGACTGACTCTGACTCTGACTCTTTCTCTGACTGACTCTGACTCTGTCTCTGTCTCTGACTGACTCTGACTCTGACTCTTTCTCTGACTGTCTCTGACTCTGTCTCTGTCTCTGATTCTGACTCTGTCTCTGTCTCTGACTGACTCTGACTCTGACTCTTTCTCTGACTGACTCTGACTCTGTCTCTGTCTCTGATTCTGACTCTGTCTCTGTCTCTGACTGACTCTGACTCTGACTCTTTCTCTGACTGACTCTGACTCTGTCTCTGTCTCTGATTCTGACTCTGTCTCTGTCTCTGACTGACTCTGACTCTGACTCTGACTCTTTCTCTGACTGACTCTGACTCTGTCTCTGTGACTGACTGGCTCTGATTCTGTCTCTGTCTCTGTGACTGACTCTGTCTCTGACTGACTCTGACTCTGTCTCTGTCTCTGACTGACTCTGACTCTTTCTGTCTCTGTCTCTGTCTCTGACTCTGACTGACTCTGACTCTGTCTCTCTCTCTGTCTCTGTCTCTGACTCTCACTCTGCCTCTGTCTTTGACTCTGTCTCTGTCTTTGTCTTTGACCCTGTCTTTGTCTTTGACCCTGTCTCTGTCTTTGACTCTGTCTCTGTCTTTGACTCTGTCTCTGTCTCTGACTGTCTCTCTCTCTCTGTCTTTGACTCTGTCTCTGACTCTGACTCTGTCTCCGTCTCCGTCTCCGTCTCCATCTCTGACTCTGACTCTGACTCTGTCTCTGTCTCTGTCTCCGTCTCCATCTCTGACTCTGTCTCTGTGTCTGACACTTCCACACTTTGAGACATTTTAAATGCCTCTGATCACGTGTCCTCCCGTGGTCATTGACCCTAACCCATTGATACCTCATCAATAAAGCATCAGAGTGATGCTTTATTGATGAAGCATCAGAGTGATTTTAACAAAGACGCCATAACCCCCCAGATTTTTAGAAGGCGTGTCGACCTCCAGGTGAGTCAGAGCCCACCCACCCCCTCCATGTGGTTGCCGTAGTTACCTGTGGCAGAACAGCAGCAGTGACATCATAGTGGCATCTGAGCCCCGTCCAGTGGGTGGAGCTCTAACGGGGACTGACCAATGAGGGTGAGGGGAAGCGGGTGGCAGGCCGGTGCGCAGGGCTGATGGGGTCACCTGAGGTTGTGGTTGGTGGGCAGTTCTGGGTTTCTGACCCCAGGAGGGCGGGGTCAGGGACCTCCGACTCGTCTTGTGTTTGGGCTCAGAGGCCATCAGCGCAACGCCCGGCCAGGACTCCCTGACACCTGACACCTGACCTTTGACCCGCCTCCGATCCCGTAACACAACAGGAGCCTCTGGTTGCTTAGCAACAAGCTGTAGCGTCTTGCGAGGGAGGGGCGGGGTCGACGGAGGACGGCGCTGAGGACGAGGACAGGGGGTGGGGTCAGAGAGGGGAGAGGATGGCTGCCCTTGCCCCAAAATCATTTTCTTTACACTCCCGAACATGTCCAACCAATTACAGCCCAGCGTCAGTCATGTCCAATCAGAGCTCAGCTACAGACCGCAGGAACCTGCTGACCAATCAGTAGTCAGATCATCCAACGAGAAGGTGATTCAAAGAAACTGCTTCAATGTCCACCCTTGTTAACGTCCACAGTCTTAGTTGTTCGCCGTTCCTGTCTCCTGTCCTCCAAACTGTCTCTGATTGGCTGCCTCAGGTCCCTGAGAACTTTGTCCAATCAGCAGCAGCCGTCTCAGGACGTCCACATGTTGACTGTTAGACTCTGAGTGTCTCTGAGTGTCTCCTCTAAACAACCCCGCCTCCCACACCCACACACTCTCTGCCCTCTGATTGGCTGCTGCCTCATTCCAGCCCCTGCCCACTCACTGTCAGCCAATAGGAACACTGCAGGGGAATTCTCCTACCGCCCACTCAGAGTCAGTCTGAACACAGAGTTTCATTCATTCATGTATTCATGTGTTCATACAGTCAGACTCAGACAGGTTCAGACATCAGCTGATACTGTAAATAAATAACTGTTTATATATCAGTGATTAATTATTATGAATCAAACTGAAACATGTTTTTACACCCAACTACTATTATTATCACATTAATTCATTTATATATCAGTAATTTATATAATTTAAGATCCAACATGTTTCTAATCTCCTGGATGCTGCAACATATTAACTACAGACATTTATTAATATATGAATCAAACTGAAACATACAAACTCTTTATCAGTAATTAATGTTTATGACACAGATTTATTAACTAATCAAAAAGTAATTAACTGAATATGATTCAAACTGAAACATGTTTCTACACCTGCTGACTGAGATCAAATTCACTATTAATAAATCAGAAATTAATATATGAAAAATGAATTAATATATGAGAGTAAGTCATATATGAAAATTATTAGTATTTCAGAATTTAACTAAACAAAATAAATAAATAAGACAACAAAGAATAATTAAATATCAGAGTTTACTGAATATGACAGAGTTGTATTTATATATCAAAAAATAAGAAATATATTATAAGTTAATTAAAATATTAGAAGCTATTTGACACATCAGAGGTTTTTAAATAAATTAAATATATATGAATTTATTTATTGATAAATCATGAAATAATATTTTTTTCAGATAATAAATATTTACAAATAATTCATCAGAAACTGATTAAAATATAAAAAATGTATAATACATCAAAATTCATTATCATTATTATTATTATTATTGTTGTCATTATTATTATTAGTATTGTTGTTGTTGTTGTTGTTGTTGTTGTGTATGGTGGTGTTTACACAGTCTCATTGTTAGTTAATATTTGTTTACATTTTTCTGTAAAAGCAAACATCAACATCCACAAAAAGTTTCTGAGGAGAATTTCAGATGTTTCATAAACAATCATCAACTATTTGTTTTTATGTATTTATATATTGTTGTTGTTGTTGTTGTTAGATCGGAACCTGGAGGGTTTCCAGCTGAGGGCTGGGCTGTGACATCATCGGTGGGTACAGTTAACAGGTGATCAGTGCGATCCAGCATCTTTCTAGGACCAATCACTTCTGTCATGTCATGCCCCGCCCCCTGTTGATGACACAGCCCTGTTTACATTGGTTCTGATCCAAACTGGTGGGGATGTAGCTGGTTCTCACCTATAAGTTTCTAAGAGCCCTGAAAGGACCGGTTTCAGAACCAGGGTCAATCAATCTGTTGTGGAGACGGCCTGTGTTCGGGAATATTGACCGATAGACGTTCCGCTGTCTCTGAATCAATACGTCCTCTTTATGTCTTAATCTGGCGTCCACACTATGAGTCTGTTCTCGCTGCTCTGAGATCAGCTGACGGTGCTCTGAGTGTAGACAGGTTCTACAACCACAGACACATTCTACAGTCACAGACACGTTCTACAATCACAGACACGTTCTACAATCATAGACATGTTCCCTCAGTGTGTTCATGGTGACATAGAACATGACTCCATCATCCATCAATCATCAGTAGCTGTAGTAATGATTGTTCGAGTTGTATCTGTTCCCTGCAGCTGTCTGTCCACATGTCTCTGTCTGTCTGTCTGCAGCTAACTGTAGATGAGACACCTCCCCACAGCGGCCACACCCACCAGTGAGTCATGAATAACTTACCTGTCATCCCCCGACAGGCTGAAGATGGTTTCGTCCAGACTGAAGGCTGCTGGAGTTTGAATGGGGGTCAGAGTGGGATGGTACGGTCCAGCAGGGGGGGAGCTGGGCTGAGAGTGGGACAGCCTGAGGACAGACTGAGAGGGACAGGTGAGAGAGATAGGTGAGACAGGCAGATGAGACAGGTCAGTATAAAGTATTGAAGCTGTTCACTTCATCCAATGAAATTGCTTCGTACCCGTCCTGCAGAATCGACGTCCAATCGTAGAGGTGGAGGGACGATTCGTGGGCGGGGCGAAGGAGGTGGAAGGGTGTATTCAAAACCCTGAGCTCCCATTGGCTCCTTGAGGTCCAGGAGCCGGATGTTGATTGGCTCTTGGTGTGTCGGAGAAGGCGGCCCGCTGTGCAGCACAAGCCCCGCCCCCTCCTTGCCACGGATTGGCTGAGCCAGCAGGTGGGCGGTGTCCTGAGAGTGGACTGCACCTCTGTCTATGTCCCGACCGATCATCTCCAGGGACTCCAGCGAGTGGGCATGTCTCATGGTGTCCATCACCCGCTTGAACACTGCCCCTTCATGACGCTCCACAAAGTCCGTGCACGTCCATCGCCCGCGGTGGTACGGCTCGCCCTGCCCACCGCCGCCGGCCCCGCCCACCGCCAGCCTCACCACCCTGAACCTGGAGGAAGACCCCACCCCCTGCCCTGAGGCATCGTGGGAGATGTATTTCCTCTTCAGAGAGGGCGTGGTCGGCTGGGAGGAGCTTCCCTGAGCGCTGCAGGAGAAGGAGGCTGCTGATTGGACGACGGTCAGGACCACACTGGGAGCTGATTGGCCAGCCAGAGTCTGGTTGATGTCTGAGGTCACACTGGTGATCTGGAAGCCACTCCTCTTTTTACCACCGCTCATCCTCTCACTCACACACACACACACACACACACACACACACTACAGCCTCACTAAAACACAGAGAAAACAATGGTTAATGTATCTTATTAGGACATTTCATTAACCCTTTACACTCTATGCAGTAGAAACAGTCCTCAGTGTCTACACTGGGGGTTTTGTTTGTGATGTCATTTCCTGGAGTATCTTCAAATGTCTCTGTAATCTGCACAACCTGAGCTAAAGTTTGTTTGAGTGAATAATCAATTTTATTTTAAATGTCTTGACTATCACATGAATGACACATAGAGACAGACAACCACACTCACATTGTCAGCTACGGACAATTGAAAGTCACCAATTAACCTGCATGTCTTTGGACTGTGGGAGGAAGCTGGAGCACCTGGAGGAAACCCACGCTGACACAGGGAGAATATGTCAGAGCACCTGGAGAAAACCCACACTGACACGGGGAGAACATGTCGGAGCACCTGGAGGAAACCCACGCTGACACGGGAAGAACATGTCGGAGCACCTGGAGGAAACCCACGCTGACACGGGAAGAACATGTCAGAGCACCTGGAGGAAACCCACGCTGAC